ATTAAACTGATTATTATTCATCAAGCATATTTCTAAAAGTTAGATTATTTATTGAAGCAGTTAACCAGCTTTCAAGCGTTGGTTTTCAGGAATTTAATCGCCAAGTGACATCAGTTAGGAAACCATGGAACACTGAGCAGGTGTTTCATCCTAGTTTTGGACTCTTCAACAGTAAGCACGCACTGGCGTTCGAGTCCAGGACCATTAGGATCTTATCTGTGATAGCTCATGAATTCCAACTTCTGCCAATTCGCGATTTATAGCGCCGACTATCAGTCGATGTCATGAGCGGAGTAACCGTCCTGTTGGCAGACTTGGTGGACCTCGCTGTGACTGCTCTTTTTTTCCTTCTATATGATTTGATGCAGTACTCGACGACAATAAAATTCACGTTTTACTGAGAGAAAGATGTGCCTAATTTGGTTTAAGGCGCCTAGGTTCGAATCGCGCTTCATCCTGCTGATTCACAGCTTGGGCAACGGTGGCTTATAGCCCGGTGCATATGAAAAATCTGTTCCGGTACACACATATGTATACTCTTTTTCTCAATGTCTTTTGTGGTGCTTCACAACTTTGTATACCGACGCCCTGAAAGATCGTTGCAATGTTAGGCGAAGTTGAAAAGCGATAGAAGGCACATTCTCCTAACTATGGCCAATTTAGTTTTGCTCTATTATAAGAGCAGGTGAACTGGTAAATTCACATATGCAAGCGACAAAATGAGCAAGTATAATATACAGAAAACGTTGATGATAAATACCACTGTTCAAGTATTGGTTTGTAGGGATTTGGTTGATTGGTTACAGGAATTCATCATGAACTGACATTGGTTAGAGAACCATTAGACAAATACTCGCCGAAGACATTGGCTAGCGGTTGTGCTATATCGTGAATTGGCAGAAGTTAGGATTCATGGGCCATTGGATCGGGTCCCAGTGGCTTAATGGTATACGAGCTCGTCTTGCAACCAGAAGGTCCTGCGTTTGAACCTCGGTGGGCACGTACTGATGAAGAGTCCCAAACTAGGTTGAAACAGCTGTCCAGTACTCCCAGGTTTCCCAATGGTTCTCTAACCAGTGTCAGCTCATGATGAAATCCTGTAACTAATTACCACTGTCTCGGTGGTTTTGTTCATTTACGTTTGAGCTTTGCATTTTGTTGATATGACTTTTGCCTTCAATGTCGACTGCTCTACGGCATGAATACGTAATTTCAGTACATTTTTATTAGTATTTAATGAGAAATCTCCCTGAACTGCCTGCCTCCCTACTTAGCCTGCATTGTTGCTTTCCCCCCTGTTAATTTAAAAGGTTCATGTATGGAGCTATTTGTTTTCCGATATATGAGTTCCTATATGCGTATATGATGAGTTCGCATTTGATTAGCCTTGAGCAGTCTCACTTCTACTGTTCTCTTTTGTTTAGAGTGACTGTTTCCTGAACTCTGTGTTTTTTTATTTTGCTTTGAAGGCATTTCCTGTTTATTGTTGTTGTTGTTGTTAAGAATGTTGTATGGTTTTAAAAATGCTCAGTCTTTGGTTAGCTTTCACTTTAGTAAAAACAATATGTAATGTTGTGAATGTTGGAAAATGTTACGTTCTGTACTCATAATTACGCCTAACTTTTGCTTGACATTAGCTTATAATCTGAAAATAACCACAGTTCGCATTTACAGTACATGTATGGTGCCTTTTGTATTTTTCACTGTGACGACTAAACTCTCTTTGATCACTGATGCTTTATACTTATGGGTGAATTTACTGTTTATCGAGGTCACTTCAAACCGTTATATTCAGAGCCGCTGTATAGTTGTTGGGTAGCTGGAAGCAATCGTCAGGAAACTTTGAAACTAGGCTATGTGCTTGTTGGTATACGTCATCAAGGCGTATCTACAGTCTTGAAGGAACTCATGTCCTCCCTGAGACTCGAACTCGGGTCATCCAAAGGCTTTATCGCTGAACTATTCGTACTTGCAACTGACCTCCTGTAGGACTGTAATGGTGATATTTATGTGACTGCAGCACAGTGTGATCACGGTTCAAGATTGCATATAATCCATTCTGACCTGGGTCCAAGGTTTTCTGCCAATTACTTCCAGTCGTCTAGCGACATGGCGAGCCAACTGCCATGTCAGTCATATTGCAAACTTAACTGGTAGAATTCAGTGTGCACCAAGACAACTAAGGACTAGATGCATGGCATTGGTTACCACCTAGTGTCCTACCTAGATGTCGCTCTAATGTCTCAAGACTCTATTATCAGAGACTGTTAGAACTCTCTTCTCAATGGTCCGTCTTCCATCTGTTGCATTTCACATGCCAGTGGTATTTTAGTTGTTGTGTTTGATGCTGTGAGTAGTTTCCGTTAGGTCTATAGATTCTTCCCTGTAGAATGTAAGATGATGTTGCAGGATTGGACTACACCGACCTCTAGATTAGAAATAGGAAGTGAAGTGGTAGAGCATGTTGACCGCTTCACTTACTTGGGAAGTACCATCAGCCCCAACGGGTTGATCTCCGACGAAATCTCGGCACGGATACAGAGGGCTAGTTTCGCATATGCCAGTTCACGCCGTCTCTGGCGTAGACGTGATATCCGACTATCAACCAAAGGGCGTGTGTACTGCTCAGTAGTCCGCTCCGTCCTTCTTTATGGCGGTGGGACCTGGCCATTGAGAGTGGAAGACATGAAAAGATTAGCTGTCTTTGATCATAGGTGCCTGCGTTGTATTTCCCGTGTGAAGTGGTACAATAAGGTGAGCAATATTGAGGTTAGACGTCGAGTGCTAGGTAAGGAGGGGAAATCAGTCGACGAGACTGTGAAATTACATCGACTGAGATGGTTAGGACATGTGTTACGTATGCGCGCCTAGTCATCGCCTTCCTCGAGAATGGGCAATGTTAGCTGATATAGGGTCAGGCTGGAAAAGAGCTAGCGGCGGTCAAACGAAAACATGGCACCAGTCAATGACATCCACAACAGTTAGTGTAAGCCACGTAGGAAGGTGTAGACTTCCTGACTGGTTGGGGTCCTCTGGACAGTAAAAACCAATGGTTTGAAACAATTGGTGGTATGGCTCAAAATCGTTCTCAGTGGCGCAGATGCACCCACTCCTTGTGACTCATGATTTCCAATGAAACTGTTTTGTTCTTCGTTATTACCATACCTTTGTCTCACACCTCTGTTTACTGTCTATACTATGCATTTCTCTTGCTTTGTGTGCTACATGGAGTGTGGCGACTTGAACTGCCGCACATATGTGCAAAGTTCTATATCGAAAACAGACAGACTATAGATTCTTATTACTCTCAGTATATTGGGTCGTATCGCTAGTAATATCGTGTTCCTAGTGGAAAGTAAACTCGTGTTCGTCGATATACCTTAAATGATTACATTTTTTAAAATTTAACTATTACCCTGTCATATTTCCCTGTTCTTCAAATTTATTATTGTCATTGTTTTGTCGCCCCAATGGACTGATTACTGAAAAAATCTCGTCACGGATACAAAAGACTTGTGTGACATTTGCCAACTTATGTCATCTCTGGCTTAGTAGACGTGATACCTTGTCATCGGTTTAAAGATGGGCGTACTGCTCCATCCTCCTTTGTCGCTGTGATTGAGACATGGCCATTGAAAGTGGAAGATATGAAAAGGTTAACTATCTTCAACTACAAATGTTTGCGTCTAGTCTCCCGTGGTAAGTGGTATAATATGGTGAGTAATATCGAGGTTAGGCATAGAGTATTATTATGTAAGTGGGGTAAGCCAATCAATGAAGTCGTGAAGGTCGATGGACTGAGATGGGCCATAGCCTTCCTCGACGATCAGTGTTTACTGACTGGATCGAGATGAGGTTGGAAAAGAGCTAAAGTTGATCAAAACAAAACCTGTCTGTCATCCGTCTATGAAATGTCTGTTACTTAATTTTATCGACGTAAGAAGATGTAGGCTGTCTGACTGAGGTCCTCAGGATTCCAAGATCCAGTGGTTGGTGACTATTGGTGAAGTGGCGTCTCAAAATCATTCTCAGTGATGGCGCAGATGCGTCTACTCTTTGTGATTTCTCCTTTCCATCAAACCCTCATGTGCTTCCGTGTTATACTGTTCTTTCTCCCTCACATTTCTGCTCATTATAGTTCCTTTAAATCTCACTCTCTGTGTGTTTGTCTACTTCTGTGTATGTGTGTGCTGCATTGAGTGTCGCAACTCCAATTGCTGGTATTTCTGTGCACAGTTCTCTGTTGAAATTCAGTCAGTCAGTCAGCGATTGTTTTGTCAATGCTTTCTTCTCGTGACGTTTGTCTTAGTTCATGTTCACCGAATTATTATACCAGATTGTTTTTCTTTTTTCATTGTTCTACTTCGTCTGGCTATTATCATTATTTATTATTGTTCCCTTGGGTTCCTAGTGGAACAAAGGGCTTCAACTGCACGCCTCCACTTGCTTCTGTCTTCTGTTGTACTTTTCACTTGCATCCATGGTAGTCCATACTGTTTCAACTCCTCTTCACACGATCTCCTCCATGTCACCCTTGCACTGACGTCCCACTCGCCGCTTCCCTTTCGGGTTCCACTCGAGCTATGGACTGACACGCGATGTCGCCCAGCGGCCTCCTCAGCCAGTGAGTGTTCAATCCATCTCCACTTTCTCCTGCATTTTTGTTTGGCGATTGGTTCTTGTTTTGTTTGTTCCCATAGTTTCTTGTTGGTTCTTCTTCTTTCCGGCCATCTGATCTTCAGTATAGAGCGGAGGCAGCGGTTGATAAAGGTCTGTAACAGGCTGTTGGAGATATTCTTTGTGACCCACCAAGTTTCTGACCCGTATAGAAGAACTGACTGACATGACGTTTGTATTGAAAATCCGAATCATTTTGTTGTTGATGCTGAGTTGAGTGACGAAGATTTCCAGATTGGTTTCAGGTAGTTTCACCTTTATTTTGTCTTTAACTTCATTTTTACCTTTTTCTCTCTCTCTTCTTTTTCATACTTTTTTCAAAGATTGATTTTGTTGCACATGATGACATTCCTTATGCATCGCCTGACAGTGAAGATGTGTACAAACCACTCAAAGATGCTGGCATGTGAGTTGTGTTGTTTTGTTTTTAAAAGTTTTCTTGTAATTTACACCCACTGCATAATGTTGTTCTGTGTGTGTGTGTGTAAGTGTGTTTATTCCCACCCTGGCTGATTGCTTATGTGTTCTTATTTCATTCATGCTTATTGATTGTCTACTACTTTACCAATTTTACTATCCATCTGTGATTGACAGTGATCAACTTATTTATGAGTGTGGTAAAGTTTATACTAGTATGCTTATCAGGTATTATATATTATATTGTTCCCTTGGGTTCTGCAAATAGAACATACGGTTCCACTTTCTTCTATTATCTGCCATCCCCTACAGCAGGGTCTACGATTGCCCATAATCTCTCATCTCCTTGCCACACGATCTCCTGTAATGCAGTCTAGGACGATCCACTCGTCGCCTCCCATTTGGATTCCACTCTAGCAATGGCCTGGCCTCCTCAACGTATGTCCAATCCATCTCCATTTTCCCTTACATATTTGTTGAGCAATCGGCTCTCGCCTGTTGGTTTGTTGCCAGCCAGAGTTTCTTGTTGCTAATTCTTTCTGGCAGGATGGCTGGCCATTTGATCTTCAGTATGGAGCCAGCCATCGAAGGTGGCAGCTGTTGACAAAAGTCTATAACTTTTTGGAAATCCTTTTCGTGACGCACAGTGCAGGTTTCTGACTCGTATAGAAGGACTGACCGACTTCACATTAGTGTTGCAAATGCGAATCTTATTCAAACTGGTTTCAGGTTGATGAAGGTGTATCTTGCCTCTCCGATTCTGGCCTGCTTTAACATCTTCATCCGTTCCACCGGCCTGTAGTTGAAACGATGCTTCCTAGATAAGTGAAGGAGAAGTAACCTCTTTCAAATCTCTCCCGTTGATGGTGATCGGTGCTGGTTGTTGTTGTTGTTATTATTATTGCGGTTCGTTCGTTATCTTCATTATCAGGTATTCGCCTGCTGAAATTCGATTGATTGCATATTACATCAGCAACTGACATTAGTTAGGCCTCCAAAGCCTCAGGATGGTCGGGGGTGGGTGCCTTGCGCTGCGGGTTGGCCATCCCTCCGCACACCTCTTGAAATGCTCCCATTTGGCCGGGCGTCTTATATAGCCTCTCCTGAGGAAGTCCTACTCACTGCCTTCACGTGGCGGAGGTGTTTTTTCACCGAAGTGAGAGGGCGAAAGCGGATGCCCGGCGCTCTTCACCGGGTTGACTGTCCATTGGATGACAGTTTAGGGGAGATGGCTAAACCCTGATTCCAAACCTCCAACGACTGGCGTATGAAGCTCACTGGAGCTCACCGGCAGACGTATGGACAATGGGCTTGTTGGATGTCCTGGATGTCTGGCCCCATTCAAAAAGGCGTAGGAACCGAACTCCGGTCAGCGGCTGCCAATGGATAGTGGACTCCCTACTCCACTCCTACTGCCTTGTAGGTCACACTTGGTTGTGTGAAGGCTAGAGCTGCACTCTCAAACAAAAGGTCGAGCGATTCTGGGGACATCACTCGTACCAAATTCCCATGAAACTTCATGAACTCTCTTACAAACGGATTCGAGATGTTCATGAAGCTGGCTCATCCTCCCGTAGGAGATAGCCGAAGTAAAGTAAAAGGAAGTAAGACATTAGTTAGAGGACCAATAAAAGCTAGGGAGTACTGGACAGCTGTTTTTCTTATATCCTAATTTGAGACTTTTCATCAGTATGTACCCATGACCCCACTGGGGATTGAACCCAGAACCTACAGGTTACGAAGCGAGCCTGTTGATCATTCAAAAACTGGGATGGAATCCAGTAGTCAATGAATTCTATCTTGTGCCATTGCACGATGCATAGTACAACTGTCAGTTAATGTCATTGGCGAGTAGTATTTGTCCTCACACCCAACTTGGTAGATTCCACTATTCCCGTCTTCTTACTGGAACTTCAGGCAACTTCATCTTGTAATCGATGACTAGTTAAAGAACCTATGAGAACCAGGGAGTACTGGATGGTTGTTTCGTTCTAGTTTGGGATTCTTCAGCAGTATTCACTGGTTACCTTGATGGGAAGTTGTAGCTCACATTGTAGCTACTGTTATAGGCTTTTATTGCTATTTATACTGTCCCTGATTGGAGCTTTTAATGTCAATGTTTGGGTACTACTACTTTGCGAGGAAGCCTGTAAATGCATAGCGAAATGACGCGAATGTAAAATGCCCCCCCTCTCCCCTAATGATAATAAGGATTGCATAACTGAAGAGGAATTCGGACAGCTCATTAGAATCATCATTCAGTGATGGGATATTAGTTTCTGTTGAGTTTACTTTCCGCTGCACCTACCAATAGCTGTCAGCCACTATAAATCAACTGAAATAGTAAACTGTGGCGGTCAGTCTCTTCGTGTCGTGGCTACATTGTGAATATTATCAGTTGAATTCACTTAGCGACCAGGGATATGTACACCACAATATTACTCCCTCTCTCCTCAGCTTCCAGTCAATATATTTTTTCAAGTGTACTGCAGTTTTGGGGAGTTATGCAATGAATATTCAAATTATTAAAGTGTCATGTTATTATTTAGCACCTTTCAAAAATAAAACCCTTCATCAGTCACATTTAGACCTTTTTTTCTGCAGTTATGTGGAATATGTATCATGAGAACAGCTATTGGCGTCTGATTCTGAAATATTCTGTAGGATAAATGAAGCCACAACAGTTCCAACATATATATATATATATATATCAGTAGAGGCAAACACCATCCCCCCCTTAACGACCCCATCGACGTGGTTGATTTCCATGATTATAATCTTTTGTATTCTAACCATCCCTCTTTACTGCTCCCCATTAATCTTTCCTGGACTACTTAAGAAAGACTTTGCTTTGCTCTGAAGGGCACTAAAAGCTGTTAGTAAGGGAAGTGGGATTTCGTTAAACCAACTGGTTAACACTATTGTGGATAGATATATAATGTCATGTAAGAAACTAGCGAATTCTATATTGTCAGACCCCGAAACCCTCTCTATACGCAGCTCTCTCCTTGCATTTCATCTGGTAGAACTAGAAGCAACTATAGGAGGCTATATGCCAGGACTACCAAGTACAAAATCTCCACATTACCTTATCTGGCACAGCTGTTATGTGATGAGAAATCCGTTAGGTATGACACGATCAATTTACTGTGGCACTCTAACAAATAGTTCCCATTAGCTTTTGTTCTCCTTTCTATGTTACTATTATATTGTTGCTCACATATCCTACTACACACTAATTTTATATTTCATATCCTGTGGTGCATTGTTTAAAATGTGAATGCAATGCTGTTCTTTTTTATTTCTTTTATTTATCGTTTTCTTTTTGTTGTTGTTGCTTTTTATTTTTAAAATCTTATAAAAATTTATGAGGTAATTAGATGCAATATTGTAATGCACGCTGAAAATTCCATACCTGTACCACAAATACTGTTTGGAATGAAGCTATTATTATTATTATTGTTATTACACCCAGAAAGTCTATGGGATTGTATAAGGTCTAGATACTCAATTTACATTTCTCTGTCTCTTCAATTCGCTGAATGACTTTTTTTTTTACAAAATTAACTCTCGGCCAGTTTCATCATTTTACGAAGGGTGTGTGTGAGAGAAATTGTTGATCGATGTTTTTGCCTAGTAAACTGTCCATCCCTTAGAATTAGTTTATTTTTCTTAACATTGTTTAATCTCAATAGATTTGTGGATAGCTAATTTAGTGAGATAATTGTTAAAAGGACGGTTGAAGAGAAGTTAATTTTCTTTTAGACGAGGTCATCAACTTGGCTTTATATTCTTGGATGTTAAGTGAAGAGATGAGAAAGTCCCAGAACTATTTCAGGGTATGGGGTAAATCGTAACGAATAAAAAGATTACAAGTAGGGAAATAAAAACGTAATACTAACAGAATAAACTAGAAGTTTGGATAAAATGTCTGATTTCCCGCAAACTGGAAGATATGCAAGCGAAAAGCAACAAGTTAGCAGAAGAATCATCAAAGATAGGACTTCACTTCAGGTGAACATAGAGAAAACAGAGGTGATGCAGATTCCTGGCCAACACCACCAACAGCAACAACAACAACAGACAACAATCAGTATAAATAGGAGGAACCTGAAAGAAACAACCTCTTTTACCTACCTACCTACCTGGGAAGCATCGTTTCAACTACAGGCCAGCGGAACTGACGAGGATATCAAAGCAAGAATCGGAAAAGCAAGACAAGCTTTCACTACTCTCAAGTCTGTGTGGAGGTCAACAGCCCTACTCAGCATCAAAACGAAGATAAGATCCTGATTTTCAACTCCAATGTGAAGTCAGTCAGTGCTATTCACTATACGGATCAGAGACTTGCACTGCGCGTCATGAAGAGCATCTCAAACAAACTACAGACCTTCATTAACAGTTGTCTTCGCTCAATACCACTCAAGATCAGATCGGCCAGCCAGAAAAGATCAGCAACAGAGAGGGATCTCTGGCAATGAGCGAACCAACTCAGCAGGAACCGATTGTGAAACAAATAGGCAGGCTGGAAGAAATGGAGATGGATTGGCTGGCCATACTCTGAGGAAACAAACCATCAAGTAAGTGACATCACTAGACAAGCCATTGCTCGAGTGTAACACGACTGAATGGGAAGCGGCGAGTTGGTCGTGAGTGCGAGGGTGGGTGACTTGGAGGAGGTGATGTGAAGAGGAGATGAAAACGTGTGGGCAGACTTGGAGCCAGGTGAAGACTCTAGCAGAGAACCGAACGCAATGGAGACGCATGGCTGAAGCCCTATGTTCCTCTAGGAATTAAAGGAAACAATAATAACAATAATTGGATAAAATCATAGTTGGATAATAATTATTGCGACTGTTGACTTTTAGTAATGGCCACGGTAAAGAGAAAGATTGGACGTACTTCTTTTAGCTATGCTCAGATGTCTGGGTCTCACTCCCTTTTAGAGGATTTTTCGGATCTTGTATAGGACCTTGAATGACTTCTCAA